AACATCCATGTCAAATTTTGCAACTTTTTTATGGATTTAAAATTTGGCAAAAGAATAACATGGTACCCCTAAAATCTCGATTCCAAAACAAAAAAATAATAATTAAGACGTTATTGACAAGTCTTTTTGACATTAACTTTTACAAAGGATTTTACATGCAAATAGAAATGTCCATGTCAAATTTGGCACCTTTTTTGATGAATTTAAAATTTGGTAAAAAACTGGATGGTACCCCTAGAGGTCGAGGCCAAAACTAAATAAATTAAAATTTAGACATTATTGACGATTCTTTTTTATATGAGACATTTACAAAGAATTTAACAAGAAAATAGAAACATCCATGTAAAATTTTGCAACATTATTTAGAGCTCGAAGCCAAAGCTAAAAAATAATAATTTAGACATTATTGACAAGTCTTTTTGACATGAAACTTTTACAAAGAATTTTTCATGCAAATAGAATTATCCAGGTCAAATTTTGCAATTTTTTTGATGGATTTAAATTTTTGCCAAAAGATGTGATATGTTGGTCACCCTAAAAGCTCGAGGCCAAAACTAAAAAAAATTATTAAGATGTTATTTACAAGTCCTTTTGACATTAAACTTTTACAAAGAAGTTTACATCTAAATAGAAATATCTATATCAAATTTGGAAACTTTTTTGATGAATTTAAAATGTGGCCAAAAAATATGATGGTACCCCTAGAGTTGAGGCCAAAACTTAAAAAAATGATAATTTAGATATTATTGACAAGTCTTTTTGAAATGAAACTCTTACAAAGGATTTTACATTCAAATAGAAACATTCATGTCAAATTTGGCAACTTTTTTGATGGATTTAAAATTTTGCCAAAACATGTGATGGTACCTCTAAGAGCACGAGGCCAAAACTAAAAGAATAATAATTAAGACGTTATTGACAAATTTTTTTGTCATGAAACTTTTACAACGGTTTTTACATGCAAGTAGAAACATTCGTGTCAGGTTTTGCAATTTTTTTGATGTATTTCAAATTTGGCTAAAAATGTGATGGTAACTCTAAGAATTCGAGACTAAAACTAAAAAATAATAATGAAGACGTTATTGACAAGTCTTTTTGACATTAAATTTTTAAAAAGGATTTTACATGCATGCAAATAGAAACATCTAGGGGTGAGTAAGTACCGAACCGATACCGAAATTTCCCGAAAAAACCGAGAATACCGAACCGAAAAAGTACCGAGAAGAAACCGAACCGTACCGAACCGAATGGTCGGTACGGTATTTGGGAACGGTACGAGGTGACGTACCATACCAAAAATCCCAAACCGAACATATATACTAAAATATTATAAAAAAATAATACCCCGGAGTAATATTTTTCATATTCCTTCACTAAATAATACAGAGTAATTTTTTTAAAAAAAATTGGTTCAAGTTTTATCATGTGTAAGTTATACTTTTATTTGAGTTTTAGCTTTTGTGTATAAACATAAAAGTATTCACAAAGATTCGAAAAATCCTTTGTTGTCGTTCATTTTTTTAGTTTGTGAAATATAAACTATGTTTTGATATGCATCCATTGCATTTAAATATTCATTTTTTTAATTTTTCATGTTTTTTTTATTTAAATTCACTTTTAATTTTCAAAAATAAAGGGGCATTGTTAAACTTTAAGGTGTAAAGTAGGTATGTATATTCATCCCGATTTGTACCGAAACCGATACCGAACCATGCCGAACTATACCGAACCGATATGTCGGGATCGGGATCGGTACGGTATAAAATCCCATACCGAACCGAAATATTTGGTACGGTATCGGTACGGGCTAAATACCGTACCATGCTCACCCCTAGAAACATCCATATAAAATTTTGCAACTTTTTGGATGGATTTAAAATTTAGCTAAAAAATGTTATGGTACCCTTAAGAGCTCGACACCAAAACTAAAAAAATAATAATTAAGACATTATTGACAAATATTTTTGACATTAAACTTTTACAAAGGATTTTATATGCAAATAGCATGCGTTTTGGGTGATATTCCTGATTTTTCCTTCTCTATTGTTGAATGTTCTTATGTACGCTGTTGTTGGTGAGCTGTAACAAGCCGTGGAGATAGACGCAAATAGAGTTTGTCGTCAAGTCATTTGTAAGTAGACAAATCAATATATTAGAATGTTCTCTTGTGATTGGTTGTGCAATTCTTACTGTGATTTAATGGAAGGGCTAGTACACGGATGTGGGCCCCGTAGACATTGGAGTGTTGCTTCGATCTGCGTAAATAATTCTTTTGTATTGTTTACTACTTTTACTTTATATTGTGCATGTGTGGTTGTGACAGAGAATTGAATATGTTATAGCACTCTGTCTGTCATATGTTACTGTGACAGTGCTACAAATGTTATAGCATATTTGTTTGATCTGTTTGCATATTTTTTAATTGGTGATTTCCGCTGCACCCCACAAACTTACAAGATCCACATGCTTTGATTTATGACCTCATCGTCATCTGAAATGTATATAACGTACAATGGATTTGTTATTCTTTTTTGACTTTATACTTGCGAGGTGCAATTGACGTAGGTGAGGGGAGTAGTTTGGGCCGAGACTTGGCGGGGGGGTTAGGGGGGTAGGAATCATAAATTTCATGAACGGAGCTCCGTAGAGGGGCAGTGGCTTCTGTCGCGACTGGATTCCAGTGGCTCTAGAATCGGCCTCCTTTTCTATAAGAGTATAATGTCTTTTAGGACTCATTGATTTTACGATTGAAGGAGCGCATGACAATGCCCAAATTAGTCAATGTTTGGGTGATGATTGATCAATTATTTTCATCTGAATTATTATTATTTTTAGTTTTGGTCTCAAGCTCTTAGGAGTATGATCACATTTATTGAATAAATATTAAATCCTTCAAAAAAGTTGTAAAATTTGACATGGATGTTTCCATTTGCATGTAAAATGCTTTGTAACAGTTTCATATCAAAAAGATTTGTCAATAATGTCTAGAATTTAAAATTTGGCCAAAAAATGTGATGGTAGACCTCGAGGCCAAAACTAAAAAAATAATATTTTAGATATTATTGACAAGTCTTTTTGACATGAAAATTTTATAAAGAATTTTACATGCAAATAGAAACATTCATGTCGAATTTGGTTACTTTTTTGAAGAATTTAAAATTTGGCCAAAAAATATGATGGAACCCCTAGAGCTCGAGACTAAAACTAAAAAATTAATAATTTAGACATTGTTGACAAGTCTTTTTGATATGAAACTTTTACAAATGATTTTACATGCAAATAGAAACTTCCATGTCAAATTTTGTAACTCTTTTTTATGGATTTAAAATTTGGCAAAAAAATTGATGGGTCTAAGAGCTTGAATCCAAAACTAAAAAATAGTAGTCTAGACATTATCGATAAGTCTTTTTGACATGAAACTTTTACAAAGAATTTTATATGTAAATAGAAACATCTATGTCAAATTTTACAACTTTCTTAGATATATTTAAAATTTGTCCCAAAACTAAGATGGTACCCCTAAAGGTCGAGGCCAAAACTAAAAAAAATAATGACAAAGACGTTATTGACAAGTTTTTTTTACACTAGACTTTTGCAAAATATTTTACATGCAAATAGAAACATCCATGTGAAATTTGACAACTTTTTTGATGAATTCAAAATTTGGCCAAAAATGTGATGATAACCTAGCTAGAGCTTGAGGGAAAAACTAAAAAAATAATAATTTAGACATTATTGACAAGTCTTTTTGACATGAAACTTTTACAAAGGATTTTACATTCAAATAAAAACATTCATGTCAAATTTTGTAACTTTTTTGATGGATTTAGAATTTGTTCAAAAAATTATATATTAAAAAGCTATAGGTTGGGCCGCCATGTGGCCTATTTGGATCACTTTCATGGGCGGGTATGAGCATGACGTTTGGCTCGAGATTTATTGGCGGGCTTGCCCGCTCAATATATGAGGAATAAATTAACCTCAAGCCCGACCCGAATTGAATCCGTGTTTGTGAAGGTCTAATAAGTACTCCCTCCGTCCCAAAAAGTCTTTCTTGTTTCATTTTTTGCGCATCCCATAAAACACTTCTAACGACATCTAAAATGCCTAAAATTTACAAAATTTCTTCTTTATTGTGGGTAGAAGTTATTTTGAAAGTTTTTTTGGCATTCAAGACGGGATAGAAATGTTTTATGGGATGCGCAAAAAATGAAACAGGAAAAACTTTTTGGGACGGAGGGAGTACTAGTTATAGTGCATGTTATTTGTTAACTGTACGACTGAGCTTTTTGCCGATGGTTGGTCGTTGAAATGTTTGGGTGTGAAGTGATGGAGACAAGCAAGTTCAAAGGGATGACTATACCAAACCGAATTGATGCTCAAGATTTATGCCAATATTTCCAAGTTTATGTTTTATACTCTTTCTATCCCAATTTAAGTAGTTTATTTATTATTCACAGGATTTTTAATTCCTTACCAATTTTCAAATAAATTAAATTAAAAATGACTTTAGTCAAACTTCGTAAACAACAGCAAACAATTTTTTTTACACGGAGAGAGTAACTAAATATCATACCTATTGGAATCACTTCCTTTGCGCACTCCTTGGCTTGCTAAGTTTTAATAATAAATGTCATCTTGCTCCGCCTAAATTTTGTGTTTGATGGTTTATAAATTGCTAACACGACTCGTTTGCACTGTTTCATAAACCATCATATGATCCATTGCAAATTATATTAGCGAGAGCTTTGGACCCCCTTACGACAGAATAAATCCATCATAAAACGAGCTAAATTTCTAGTGATCGACCTAGGTCAATTTTTAAACAAAATTTAAACAGACTCAATTTTTTTTGTTGAGTGAGATCAAACTCGAATAAGCAAAGAATAGGTTGAATGTTGTGGACAGGATGTAGGAGGGTTGTAACAATGGATGCAGTGGTTATGAAAAAGTATGAACAATTATGAACCTTCAGTTGCATCGTACAAGAGTTGCGTGCTAGAGCCTCCTCTATTTTACTTGTCCACTCTTGACTTCAATAAATGACACTCCGGGGAAAGACTTTAGAGAGGGCGTGCATCATCCCTACTAAATTACTACTAGAAACATTCCTGGGCACGAATCAATAATGTAATCACCCCAAGTAAGGGTATGGTATAGTAATGGTCATTTCATACACACAAAAAAGGAAGTGGCTTTTCAGAAGCCCATGAATTTGGATGAGTGTTCTAGCAAAGGGTCCAAAGCACTGGGAGCAAATTTTCTCGCGAAAAGAAAGCAGAGATTGGTCAGCTGGTTGTTGTAAAAGCATGTCTTGTCAGATATCTTCTTGAACAGTTGATCAGTAATGTCACCCTTGCCATATGTAGCGGGGTGAGGCCCGCCCCTTGACCAATCGACCCATGTCAGACTCCGGTTCGCAAGGAGGCCAGGAGACTCCATGCTCAGCATGGTGGGGAAGTAGTGTTCATCCACATAACAAGCCGGCCTGCAGAACTGCTCAAACTTGGGGTAGTAAACCTCATCTTTGATGATGTCAACGGCCAACTTTCTGTTTACTTCAAACCACTGGGACCCTTTACGCCAATCGGTTAGGTTAACCGTGGGTGACATTTTTGCATTGTAACGCCCTCTCCCATAAGGTCCTTGGTCATCAACAGCACCCATGAAGCTGTATCTGGATCTTGATATGTAGTGATAAACAATGCTGAAGTTATGAAGAGGAATGCATGCCTCGGAAAGGAGGACAAACCATTCGTTTGATATGTCAAGTAACGCATTAGCAAGAAGCCGCCTTTCTGCGTCACACATGTTCATCCTTCCCCACTCTGCTACCTGCATCACAATCATTCATTATACAGTAGTAAATTCTGTGTTCGGTTCAGGGTATAAATGTTTTAACCTGTTTTTTGTATTTTTCTTCACCATTTTGAAAACATAAATACTCCCACTGTCTGTTCAAATATGTTTGGAGTAAGATAATGTTTTGGATTCTTTGATACATACCTGTGTTTCTCTGTTCGGTTTTAGAAAACAAAAACAAATGGTTATGGTTATGGTTACGGTTTTGGTTATGATTAGAAATTGGAATATAGTGTTTTTGTTGTCTTCCGAAACATGTTTCTGATTTTGAAACCATAAAATATAAATTTGAATATAAAAGAAAAGCAAACACGACAGATCTTTTAGAAATTCGAACAATAGAGAAGAAAAACAAAATGATGTTTAAAAGCAGAATGCATAACAGAACACATATGCAGGAAATAAACGCCACTTTGAATGCAATTATGCAAAAAGGTTCACAGTGCTCAAAAGTATGACCCTCATTCATAAAGTATAAGAGCTTAGCAGAATATGTAAAACAACTGGAGCTAGAAATATATGTGAACTCCAAGTGCATTCATTCAGTGTGTAGAGTTGCTGCCAGTCCAAAACATATGGAGTACTAAATTGCTTCATACTAGTTAGGCAGTTAGCAATCAATAAAATATGCCAGCACACCACATTCAGAAAGGAATAAGGGTCAATGTCTGGTCAAGTCATAGTTTGGATGAAAGATAGAAAAGCATGCTATGATAGTATGATTTACCAAGACTCTTTTTAAACCCCCCAACTCAACAATACCTAAAGGGAGAGCTTTTAATAGCTAAAAAGAAACCTTTTAAAACTTAATTACACTCTTAGTAAATATCAAGACCATTTCAAGTTTTAATTAAAAAACAACCCAACAAAACAATAGCTTTTTTCAGTTCTAGTGTGTGAAACACTACATAATTTCCATTCCAAAGAATGTATGCCTACATAATACAAAGCTAAAGGGCAAGCTTCAAAACTTAATTACACTATAAAAGTATTTTATGACATTTTTGTGACAACATAGAACCAATATTTAACCTCAGGATACATGCTTCAAATGTTAAACAAACAAATGGGGAAATAGAATGACTGTACAATAAAAATTACCTGGCTAGGTATTTGTCGACCATAAAACACTGATGAAGTGTTGAAATCGGGTGTATAAGATGGCAAAGAATGAATATAGATTGAATAGAGCTCCTCATTTCCCTTAAAAAACTTCTCCCACAATGGGGCCAAAGGCAGAGGCCCTCTAGTCAAGAACATGAATGCAATCCTGGGTTTTCTCTTAAAAGGATAATCCTTCACTTGTGGTACAAACGAAGCTCGCCATAATAGCTCCGTGTCATTTAGATTATGCAAAAGATGTGATGGAGGCCTAATCCAATTCTCCAAACTACTTATTTCTTGATAACACGACTCAAGTCCGGATTGTAACATAGGAACTGTAGTCTGGATTCCAAAATAACGGACTGTGTACATACTAACAAGTGAAAATGCAACACAGATACCCAGAAACAAAAGAAGAAACTGAAGTAATCTTAGAGGTAGTGGCTTATATTGATTTGTTGATCTAACAGAAAGGTCTTTCCCCTCTTCCAATGATCCCCTTGACTGCATCGTTATTTCACTTTTATCAACTCAAACTTCTCTTTAGATGAACAACTCCGAATTCAAGACTTCAAATTTCAGCAGGAAAACAAAAAAGAAGAAGCAAATTCTCATGAACTGTAAAATCACAGTAGGGATTAGGCCGGTTTCAAAAAAAAAAAAAAAGAGGAAAGATACCTAAATCCGGCTTCCGAACTACCGAACAGTGTTAGAGCAGAATAAGATCTGAACGCGTAATTTCTTCACAGCTCAGAATTCAGATGGCAGAATAAGGACAGAATATAGAACATCACGCGACCGATTCACTTTCCATAAACATCAACAGAGACTGAGCTGAAGAGGCTTCAGCTCAATAGATGGGCGAGTGAGGGTACCACAAAGACAATCGCTTTATGAAGGAAATCAATAGAGGGGAATCTCTGCTTTGCCGCTGGATATTCGCCGCTAACCTTCGATATATGGCGCAATCGGCCCTCTTTTATATTGCCACCGTATCTTATTCCGTGAATATTATGAAGAAATCCTCCGGAATTTCGGGAGGGAGAGCGGAAGGAAAGTCTGGTCATCTGAGAGAGCGTGGAAGTGGGGAGGGAAGAACGGGCTTTAAAAGTCAGGAGGAGGTAAAGTTCCATACGTTACGGATGAGAATTGCTAAGTACTCCCTCTCTCTCCTAAAATCTTTGTTTTGATTTTGGAGAAATTTATTTTCGTAGTTTGACTTTCTAATTATATGTTCACTATAAGAAAAATTGACTAATTATCTAAATGACTTATTATATTAATGTAAATTGAATGTGAAATTGCAATGACTTAATTTAGATATATGAGTCATTTTTTTTAAAAATAGAAGTATTTTAGGAAAAATAAAAAAAATGGAAGAGGAACTATTCTAAGAAATACAAATACTAAAATAATAAGATAGTACTCATGTTTTCAAAAACAATGAAAAACCAAGATATTTGTGATGAAAAGTAAAAAAAATCAGGATTGTAAAAAATGTTTTTCCTCGAAACCGAAGAATATAATCTTTGGACCAAGAAAGGTAATCCAACTCGCCGGGTCTGGCAAGTCGTAACATAAATCAAAGTATATTGATCCAAAGTTAGCCAAACTTAATTCAATTCACGCTTGAATTTGACTCGAAATATATTGATTCAAATATTAACCGATCCGAAGTACACTCGAGTTACTACGGAGTAATAAGTATCGAGTAGTCAAGTCATAATAAACACTTGTTGAAATGTGAAGAACCAAAATTAGTAAAACTATAAACTAATGCATCAATAGTAACAAACTTATGCAAGTCTAAATTATTGAATGACCAGTATGCTTTTTTGATACATTGATTAATGAATTAATAGACATAAAATATGTTTATATTCACTTAATTTTTCAATGTATATCAAAATAGTCATAATAGTTACAAAATACTCCCTCGGTCTCTCTTTGTTCTTTCAATTTTGACTTGCACGGTCAATTTTTTATAATTTTGATTACGAATTACAGAGGATATACATTGAATTATGATAAAACTTTAATATCAATGGGTTTATCTTGAAATATAATTTTGAAATATCATATTTTTATAATATATAGTTATTTATAAATAAAGATATTAACGATCAAAGTGTTGCATTGAAGATCGTACAAGTCAAAATTGAAATAACCAAGAGGGATGTAGAGAGTAATTTATATGGTAGGGAGAAATAGTACTACAAAAAAGACCATTAGAAGTTGATAAAAACATTTTGGGTGATTAGAATTATTTTATGAGTTAACAAATATCTCTCATAAATAAGAGTAATTTTTATCATATTTTGGTCTCTGTTATGACTTAAACCAAGTATTTGGTTCTAACATATTCTCATTATTCCACATAATTTTGTTACTATTAATGCATCAGTTTATAGTTTTACCAACTTTGCTTCTTCCAGTTTTAATTAAGTGTTTATTACGTCTCAAGTACTCGATACTAATCCGTATTACAGTCACATTCAAGATTAAATCAAATTAAGTTCGAAAGATGCAAACTTTGGCTCAATATACTTCGCTCTAGATTTGAGTCAAAATCTAGTTTGGGTGAAGCCTAGTCGAGTCAGCTTGCGTACTGATTGAATCAATGTCAGTTTGGCCAGATAGATTTTGATTAAAGCATTAAGTCAGGTCGAGTGAAATTCAATAAAAAAAATTATATTTACAAATTTTGAGGCACGTAGTCTTGATTCGGATTAAATTTCAATAGAGCTAATTTCAAATTGACTTAAAATTAGAATTTAAATTTCTAGGATTAGATTATGTGAACGAAATCAAAAATTGGATGTCATTTGTTACGGTTCAATGATTTTTCAAAAAAAAGTCTTTAACTAATCCTATCATTCAAATGCCTAAATCCCTCACACACGCCCGGTAACCCACCACAAGAATATTTATTACGGAAGCCCATGACGTTCGGCTTATCGACTAGTGGGTGAGACATATTGGCCAACCTCAAGTCCCCAACGTCAAGGTGGAAACCTGGGATATAAGTTAGGCTTAAGAAGCCTTGCTTGCTTACTTGTGCTAGCTTCCGTGTTGGTTTGGGTCAAGTGCTCCTCTCTTTCTCTTACACACCACCATTGTGTTCTTCTTTGATTTTCTTGTGATCCAGCTCTAAAGAGCTCTGGACACATTCATCTTCATTTTCCTCTTTCGTATTTCCAAGATAAGACAAAACATAAAAAACCAACTTTCGTTGCCATGGAATCAGGATAAATGAACACTGCAGAAATATATGAATACAACACAGTTAAACCCAACTACTGCTGCACTGGCCATTAATATATTAGTCTACACTTACTGTATGTATATATGAGATGTGACAAACAGTCGGTCAATGTTGTTTCCTTTCTTCTTGTATTGACTTGAAAATCCGAGCGGCAGATTCTGATGCTGTGTTGGGCTTGTGAGGCACAACTTTGATCACTCGAAACGCTTGCCTGTTGTTCTGATTATGGACAGGTCGGTCTGAATCTTCTCCGGTTGGTTTGGTGGGAAAAAGAGAGAGTGCGTCCCTCTCAGAAGGACTACTTGCAGTACTTCCCTGCAAATCACTCCCTCTATCTGTCTGCAAGCTTTGGTGGGCCCCATTCGAGACGATCCCACTCTGGGCCCCATGTGATGTGTTATGTATTGCTTTTGTTCCATATGGTTTCACCGAACTCGGATCACGTGTGGGTGAGTTTATCACGGGCATGGCATATGGTTGAAAGTAGGCCTGGCCAACGGACGGGCTAGGGAAAAGCCCGATCCCATAAGATATGTTCAATGGCCTGCAACCTCCATAAAGAGGGGCAAGTATTGCTCCAGGCGGGGGACAAGGACCCGAATAAGGTTTGTAGACAAGCCCTTCAGAAGGAGATCTTAAGGGAACAAGCCATTGGTTTGCGGGTAAGCACCAAGGTCCTGATTTTGCCTCATGGGCAGGGGATGCCAATCCTGAATAAGGTTCTTCGTGAAGAATTGGCTTCTTATCTCTTATGTTCTCTGCTCTACTGCCCGAAATGCCCTTTGTCTTTGGAGAAGAATATGTTTTCGGTTCGACAGCATTAGTGCATGGTAGTTTCTTCGTGGAAGATGATGTCATAAGAGATTTTCCTGTATAGATGTTATCTTCAAATAAGATATCGGGTGAACGAGCAATCATTTTCTGAACCTGTTAAAAAATATTGGCAAGCATTAGAAGCAGACATTGTATTTGATGAATAAGGGTATAAATACTAGCAAGCATGACAGGAAGTATTCTTTCCCCAATATGGTCATTTTAGCCACTTCTCATATTATTTTGGCAAAAAATATTTCAAATAATTATATCATAATTCAACAACTTCATACAATCACAAATTCCAGGAATATTAACAATTTCACCCAAATTTACCCTAACGAAAGTGGCCACAAAAGATAAATATTAAGAAGTCCAGGTTAAGTTATACAGTCAAAAAAAACATAAATAATATAAAGTAATTATTACTCCCTCTGTCCGGGTTAAGTTGTCCACTTTTCCTTTTTGGGATGTCAGAATTTAGTTGTCAAGGTACTATATTTAGTAACCAAATAATGAAAAGTTCCCAAAATATCCCTTAAAGAGTGTACTTTGTGAGGGTGAGAGGTGCTCAAGTGGTTGAAGCACCACACATTCTCACGCCTCACCCAAGTTCAACCCCCAACTCTCCCTCATTCCTTGAATTTGTGGTGTTGGAACAAATGAACAACAAAACCCCGACGGAGGGAGAAATAAATATTCTTATTCCTAATATGGCCATGTATGGAAAATTAGGAAGTACCTTTATTAACCTATGGAGCTCAAAAATTTGCTGTACAAAGATCCTTTGCTGACTGGAATTGGATGGAAGGAAATGTGTGAGACAATGAAAGAGAGAGAGAGAGAGAGAGAAAGTACATATGAGATTGAAGCAAAAGCAGTTAAGGATACTTACTGCAGAATGGTCTTCCTAGCTTTCCAGAATAGCTTCTGTCCTAACATTTTTACAATATCATCGGGGGATAAATTTACATCTGAGACATTTGAGATGTCCCCATTTCTGCCTGTTTGAGAAGGCCCTTGATCATGGTCTTCCATCATGGAAGCACCTCTTTTTATCACTCTTCTCCATCTTCCCATATTCATCATCGTCTTCAAAATATTCATCTCCCAGATTGCAACTCTCTTTTTCAAAGTGGTTCCTTTTCTTTATCACATTTGGGCTCTTTTTAGATGGTTTTTCAGAACTACTTTGAATTTTGTTACAAACATTGGAGCTTGAGGGTGTATCCTTTCCTTTTTCAACGATCTTCTCTATGTTTTCACTTTTAGGATGTTTCCCTATGTGATAAAATTTAGGAACACTAAAATCACCATCATTTCCATGCTTCATTGCAGAAAAACTATAGCCAGAGGTGCTTGGAAAATCCCCTGTATCACTTAAATATTGATAATTTATTGGCGTTAAATTTGGATTTCTTGGTGTTGTGAAACTCGGTTCACCGTGTGTAAAGTGAATAGCGCTGGCGTATGGATGAGATAGACCAGAGGGATAGCAGAAGGTAGAAAACATTTTCTCATTAGAATCTGCCTGCATTTCCATTAAGATATCACATAAGAGAAGCCCCAATTTCAGGCATTCTCAGATATAAAGAATATTTTAGTACGGAGGCATTAGTGGCATGAAATTTACTGAGTATGTTATTGATCCAAACTTCTTTGGGTTGCAGCGATGTCACAAAACACACACCCTTTCGGAAAATTAAGCGGATTTAGCCATCAGCCAGATAGCCCAGGCAAAATGGAGCCTAATTGTATGCAGTTGGTTAAATTCATGTTAAAAAGCGCTTCATGTTGCAACCTTCTAGAGAAGAGATGATATATAAGTATAGCAAAACTAAGCCAATTCTTATAATAAGCGTACTAGGTGATGGGACTGCAAACAATGGATGGGTTTCGCATTATATAAGTGCAGGGCCAGACATTGCAGGCATAATGCATACAGAACAAAGCAGACATAGTAAATCAAAACAAGTCACATGGCTCATCAAGTTTCTACCATTAATCTAAGGTGCAGTTTGGTAAGACCGAATGCAATGCAATCAGATGCATATATAGTCCAAATTTAGAGAAAACATACTTTGTTACGGAGTATATTAAGCTACTCCATATATATTATTGCAGTCTACCAAACTACATCTCATTCCATAAATGATCCACACAGAGAGTAGCAAAAACAATAACAGAATGAAAGATTGGGAAAAAAATGACCAATAAATAGAGAAAACAGTTGCATTATAATGGTTGAACTCACATGACTCAGAGCAGCCAAATTGGGAGGTGGGAGTGGGAGCATTGAGATTGGTGGAAGGGAATTTGCAGGGTATGGTTCTTCAGTAAGGGCAGCCATTTTGTTTCTTGGAGGTGCCCTTGGCCCTCTTCTATCTGCATCACTTATATGCAGTCTGGGAAATATAGGATGATGATCCATCCGCTTCTCTTTGTCTTTCTCCTCACCTTTCATCTTCCCTTTTCTCAATTCCTCAACAACAATCCCCATTCCAATGATTCCATCCAAGGGTTAGAGCTCCTTTTTTTTAATCTCTCTTTTCAAGAACGCCAAAAACCAACATAGCAAAACAACAAAATGGCAAATTCTTCCAAACTGTCTCAAAGAATTGTAGTTGCATAGATGCCCAGAATTTTTCACCTCAAATAATCAAATCTTTCTGGCAAAACTCGACACATGAACCACAAATACCACGACCCAGAACTGCCAGAAGGATATAAATCAAATAATAGTAAACACTGTTTTGATTTTGGTTCTATTTTCTCGAGATGATGAGACTGGGGAAGAGTGAACAATGGAGGAATCTGGGAGCAAGAAGTATAGAAGGAAGGCGTGGAGGTTCCATGGCCAAACAAATGAAAGAGGTGTGAAGAGAAAATGGGGAAAAAGAAATAGCCAATTCTCTCTCTATTCCTCTGGATTCCCCTTTATTGTCTCTCTCGCTCATCAGAAACAAATGCCGAACAAGTCTGGTAAATAATCATAGGCCACGACCACATGTGCTACCAATATTAAATTTTGCCAATCTCTTTGCGAAATATCTGTTTAAAGATTTTCATTGGAAGAAAGAGCCAAGTTCGGCCCTATTATGTAGTCAAGTTTCGTTGGTGGGCTTTTAGTTCACCTATCATATCTCCACGAATGAGAGGAGGCATATCCTTTTTTAAAGTCATTTATCTCCAATTTCATTTTTACACATCATCTCATACACTTCTTTAATTCATTTTATTGTGTAATTTGTATATTAAAAAATGGCCAAATAGCGCCAGTACCCCCCGTGGTTTGTAAAATAGGCAGCAATACCCCCTCTGTTTTCAAAACTTATTTCTAAAGTCCTTGTGGTTTCAAAACGTTGCACCCGTGCTCCCTCTGATCATTTTCCGGTCATTTTTCCAGCGAAGAAGAGGGGCATTTGTGCATATTTTCTAAACCACGGGGGTACCAGTGCTGATTTTTTATTTCTCTCTTTTTTCCCCAATTTTTTCCTTTATTTGTTTCATTTATTAATAAAGGTTATTTTACAATTAATTTTATAATGTTCTTAAAATTTAAAGTTATTTTTGTTTGAAAAAATTAACATATAATGCATCGGCACGTCTCAAATTAACAATTTTTATTTTTCCGAAAAAAGGTAATTTTTTTAGAACTTCTAAAAAATGATAAATAAAATAAGAAACAAAATAATACAAAAATAAAAATGATTATCTTTTTTCGACATCTCAATTTTAAGGATATTTTTAGGCGTATTCCAAAATTGTTTTTGTAGAAGACTCTTTTTTTAGTATTTTAATTTTTTCATTTCGTTTTTCCATATTTTTATTTTTGGTTTTCTTTTTGAGCTTTCCAAAAAATTATTCTATGTAAGAAAAAGTGAAAATGTTTAATTTGAGATAGATGTAATGTATGTTAATTTTTTTATTAGTTCAAATACAAAGAATTTTAAAAAAATTTAAAACATTATAAAAATTGAAAAGAAATTTTTAAAAAAATCTAGGAAAATGAAAAAGAAGGAAAAACACAAATAATAAACGAAAAATAAGAAATGAGCACAAGTGCCCCCTATGGTTTAGAAATTATGCGCCAAAGCCCCCTCTTCGCCGGAAAATGGCCGGAAAATGACCAGAGGGGGTGTGGGTGCAACGTTTTGAAACCACATGAACTTTAGAAATAAGTTTTGAAAACAGAGGGGGTATTAGTGCCAATTTTCCAAACCACAGGGGGCACCGAAGCTATTAGGCCATTAAAAAATTATAGAAATTATGTATTAATAATCTATATGTAAAGACAAATCAAACAAGATCACACATGACTATATTTAGGCTTACACATTGAGAGAATTTGATGAGTCAAAGTTCTTAGATGAACAGTTCCAAAAGTCAAAACTAGACGAATACTCCGAGACAGAGGGAGTAATAGTTATATTTTAATTATTTTCTTTACTTATTTTTGTTAGTTGTTTAATAAAATAATATAGTCTTGTCACCTCTTGTTTTGTAGAACTTTTGATGTAGTTATTAAAATATAAATTTTATTTTTTTAATTTTACACCTACAAAAGATTTGATGTAGTTATTCACTTATTCTAGACATTCCTAAAAATTTTTTTGCATAAGAGTACTTTTTGCATGTTTCAATTTTTTTCACTTTGTTTTGCCATATTTTAAATGTTATCTTTTTATTCGGGATTTTGTTTATTGAACTTTCCATATTTTTATTTTAGAAAACAAAAAATTGAAAATGTTAATTTGAGATGGATGGAGTATATGTAAATTTTTGAAACAAACAATGTTGAATATTTTAAAACATTATTTAAAAAACTAGAAAATAAATTTTAAATTTTTTTTCTAAGAAACGGAAACAGAGTTGACAAAGAGTTAAAAATAAACAAAAAATTAAAAGAAAAATGAGCTATGTTGCTCCCTATGCTTTGAAGAATATGCACCAATGCCTACTCTTCGTCGGAGGATGACAAGAAAATGATCCGAAAATGGTCAAATGGGATATTGGTGCAAGGTTTTGAAACCATGAGAATTTTAGAAATAAATTTTAATTTTAGAAATATATTTTAAAAACAGAATGAATATTGATGCCATTTTCAAAGTACATGGGGGTACGGCTTGATTACCTTTGTATATTGTACCTTCTCCGGCCTTTAATTAGGTCTAGCTAGATTCACATAACATTACTCTGTATTTGATATTAGTGTTTAGTTATTTTTTGGTGCTCAATTCCTAATAACCAATGTCGCTATCCCTAGCCTAAGGACACGATATCCATACTCCAACTCTATAGTCACGTACTCTTTACTTTTACATTTTACATTTTCATTCTATTTTTACATGGCCTTTTAATCGGGAGTTTTCATCAGTGTCAAACGAGGCATTGAAAAAGTCTTGCATCAATAACACACGCACTTCGATCATGTGCAAGTTCTCTATCTATCATATATGTGCAAGTTCTCTATCTCCACCAAAGTGGTGTAGCCTAACATACTCAATGGTTGCTGTGCAGTGATGGGTGAAAATACTTTTGATCGACCCATTAAGCATGCATGCATGCAATAATATGCTGGCTGGCTTGCTGCTTTCAATTTCTTTATGCTTTGCATTGATTTGAGGCTACCCACGACGTACGTACTATATGTCTATATTTATACGAGTAATTATTAAGAATTAAGATACAGAGAATAAACTAGGGAGTATATATGTATGTATGAACAGTACAAATGGGAGCCGAAATTTCAGCTACTCAAGCTTCCATGCATACAAAAAAAGGCAAAAGGGCGTTGACCCGCCGCCGCCGGAGTGACTCTGCGTGGTTGAGTAGTACCTGCTTTCCGTGCTGCCGCACTCGCTGCTATCTCCGCCCGCGCTGCCGCTCTCCTCCGCATCACTCGTCGTCGTCTCCCCTGTCGTCCCCTCCGGCTTGAATATGAACAGCCCGTGCTCCCATCCGCCGCCGGGCAAGCTGCTGCTGCTACTGCTACAAAACAACCAATCGTGGACGTCCCAATACACCTGCACCGGCAGCTTGTTGACCACCACCGTCTGATTCCCCCTGAACTTCCACTGCAAACTCTTCACGTGGACCAACACGATCCCCTCTATGCTTATCCACATCTCCGGATCTTTGTTGAAACCATTGTTATTATAATTCGAAGATGAAGACGAAGAAGAAAAGGAAGAGCCGCCTGCCGTGGTGGAGCTCAGCTCCACCACGATCTCGCATTCTTTGTTCATCTTATTGTCCAATCTCGCCCTCGTCGAGAAGCTCTTCTTCCCGAAGACGTGCTCCTTCTTGTAGAAGTGCACGGCATCGACCAGGGCGGGCCGGGCCTTGCTCCGCTTGTACGCCTTCTTCTTGTGGTCGCCGAGAAGGAGCACCACCTCCTCCTCCGCCACCAACGCCACGTAGTAGTCCGAGCAGGGCTCGGGGCTTCCGCTCCCGGAGAATTTAGGAGAGCGGAGGTCCCAATAGGCCTCGAGGTGGTTCCCGTCGACCTCGAACGTCTTGTAGCCCTTCTTGGCCCAGAAGTTCCAGGGCTTGAGGTCGATCTTGCAGGTGGGGTGGTGATCGTGGCCCCCCTCCTCCACCTCCTCGATGCTGTCCACCGTCAGGGTCACGCTGTGGTTCATGACGTTCTTGTTCCACACCACGGTGACGCTCCGCCAGTGGCCGCCGATGTGCGTCTGGTACACGCACGTCACGCTGCTCTGCGGGTTCTTGCTTGAAATTGCATCGTCTATCAATTTTGCGGAAGGCGATGACGATATCCTCATCACATTGTTCTCACCCATCATTATTATACTTTTGAAGACGATGACCATATATAATATAATTCGATCTCTCCAATCTGATCGATACCGAGTGTAATATATTAATTAATTTAATCTCTATCTTCCATCTCTCATATATTAATAATGAAGCACTCGGCTCATGAAGCCATGCATGCATGCATGCACGTACCTTCCATCCATGTCGTATTTATTATAGCTTTGACGATATGATTTGGCGAATTTAATGTTGGTGGGGTGAAACGTTGACCGGAGCCCGAAATATATAGAAATCAACAACTGATCTTACGATGATGACGATGATATATGCATGAGTACGTGCCTGGCCGGCCTGAGGTGGAAGATCTATCTATCTATCTATGTCGTCTCTTGAATTTAGTTTGGCTGAATTTGCAAGCTTGGAGGAAAATTAATAATAATAATGAAGAAAATCCAACTAACATGCAAGTAGTTTTCTTGTTTTATTTTCTTTTTTATTGATTTATTTGGTGAAAATTTTGCAAGTTTAGACACCAAGTTTTTGTTTTGTGGAGGAAAATTCTCAGGCGAGAAGGCTCTGATCGAGGGGAGGAGCTTCCGGAAAACAAGAAGCCCAAATGTTCAATCGCTACTGTCTGGTCCAATCTTCGATCCAATTTTAGTCATCGATTCACTCGGGGTCCAAGACCAAAATGATTTAAATCCGAGTAAATTCTCTAAATAGTCTTTTATAAATAGAGTGTTTCCATATTTAGTCCATATTTATTGAATATTAAATAGATAGTCTTTATTAATTGGGTATCATTCCACGTTTAATCCTTCGTCTATTTTTTCGTCTTCGTGCCGTTAGACAAGGACCAAACGTGAAATGGTACCCAATCAATAAAGACCATGAAAATAATACTCCTTCCGTTCCACAAAACTCTTCCGGTTTTGACTTTGGCGAAAAATAAGGAAAGTGTAATTTTGGTTGACTTACCAATTTTACCCTTGATGTTATGGGAAAAAGTGAGATGAGATAGTTTGGTTATTAGTAAAAAAGTATGATGTGATAGGTAGGTTATGAAAAAGTAGGAGTAAAAGTGGTTTTTTAATAGAAAGTGGAAGTGTTTTGTGGAAAGCAAAAAAAACGAAAGAGGAAGGGTTTTGTGGAACGGAGGGAGTATTTGATAAGATGGACTAAATATGAAAATTCCCCGTTATAAAGGACTATTTCGAGAACTTGTTCTTTTTAAACCACTTTTAATATAAAAAATTAACAGATAAGAAAAATGTATAGCTATAGTTTATTTATAAAAAATCAAAATTTGTAAACCACAAAAAATAGTTTATCAAAAAATTCATTTTTTAATACGAGAATCTGTTTGAAATTGATAGGAATTAAAAACAAATTCGAAGTTATTGTCCCTTTTTAATAACCGTCGACAATCCGCGACGGCACTCTAGTGGTGACAATGACGGATGACAATGTGTAGGGGTATCATCGGTCCAAAACCGGATCGAACCGGAATCGAAAAAACCAGAAAATCAGAATCACCTAAAGTATAGGACCGAAAGCCAGTTAGATTTCAGTTTGGACCGGTCTGGGCCTGTTTTTTCCGGTCCGGTCCAAGTAAAATCTGGAAAACCCGGATTTTTTTAATTTTTTTGTCAAATTTTTTAAACTTTTTCTTCAACAATGTAGCTTGATTTGAATTGATTTCAACCATACTCTTAATTTTTTATTCATTGGGCGTGTTTCAAGAAACTATACTCCTTCTGTTCCCTAAAACAGTTCCTGTTTTGACTTGGGAGAGATTTAATTTCATAGTTTGACCTTCTAATTATACTCTTATTATCGAAGAAAAAAAAAGAGACAAAGCATTTAAATAACTTATTATATCAATGCAAATTGAATGGAGTCTATTGGAAAAAAAAGAAACTATACTAATGCAGAATATTTTTATCAACAATATGATAAGTTTAAAATAAGTTTTTTACTTATGTTAGTCTGTGTGATTTCAAAAACATTATAAAGTTGTACTTTAAATTATTTGAGTTTCTGCAAGAATAAGTTAAATGTTAAATGATCTAATACTTCAATTTTAACATATTAAAGCTTTACTAAAAGTATCACATATTTTAATTTTTTTTGCTACACGGAAGAAGTAATAAATTAAAAATTATTAAATGTTAAAGCTTTACTAAAAGTATCAGATATTTTAATTTTTTTGTTTACTCCATTGTGTGATATTGACATTGATGAATTTCTTAAATACCATTCATCATTGGGCATAGTCTTAAGAGCATTAGAAATATAGGGGTTTCTAAACTTCTCTTAGGATCTCTTCATATCAGTTTTAGGCCCCGTTCCGTTCAAATTATTTTTTCTTATTTTTTCTTATTCTTATTAAAATCAGATCAGATCAGATCAGACCAGATCGAATCAGATCAGATCGAATCAGATCAGATCAGATCAGATCCAATCAGATCAGATCAGATCAAGACTTATTAAAATAAGATCTCATCAAGAATTATTATTATTATTATTATTATATTATTATTATTATTATTATTATTATTATATTATTATTATTATTATTATTATTATGATCATCATCATCACCATCATCATCGTCATCATCATTATTATTATTATTATTATTATTATTGTTCTTAAAAATGAAAAAGAATAAACTTTAGAAATAGGTTAAATAAAAAGCTGAGAAAGTAATCCTTAATTATTAGACGTCGGAAAAATTAGTTTTAAAATACATTGACAATGTCAATCTAATTCTACTTTTAAAATATATTTTTATTGCTACTTGTAATTTGAGTTTCTAAACTTTTGATCTTTTATAAGGATGAGATATTTTAATAAAA